CCCCCAAAACAGATGTTTCCAAATTTGAGTTTCCTCCAACATCAAAACTCATTAAAATATATGGGTTTATGCACAAATCACCAACCAAAACACAAAACACTCAGTTGTTTGCAAAAAAACAATTTCTTGCAAGAATGCCAAGTCTCGGCTCGTCGTCTGACTCGGAGATTTCAAGCAGGAGCCCTCAACCCGAATTGTACGAAGATTCTCGAATCCCGCGATTCTGTTATTGTCATCGTAAACCAATCATCCAAACTTCCCACACCGTTTTGGATCCGAGACGAAGATTCTTCACTTGCAATAAGGAATACATAAGTTCAGCTGTTGATTTTAATTTCGTATCAAAAATATTTATACGGTTTGTGTCTTGTAGAACCCCAGATGTCATCTCTTCAAGTGGTGTGATGAGGCGATGCTAGAAGAGATTGCAGATGTTCGCCATGATTTGACCGAGATGCAAGGCCGGAGTGGTTGGACTAGAACCATGAACCGGATTCACTCGACGGAGATTTCCCCACTACAGGAATCGGTAAACAACCTCAAGGAGGAAATGGTTGAGGCAAGGAGGTCTCATGCTCTCCTTTATGAGATGGTGTGTGACTTGGTTTTCAAAGAAATGGATAGGGAATTGGAACAGACGCGACGAACTAAGATATTTAAGGAAGTTAAGGACATGGTTGTTCTATCTGTTCCTGTTGTGGCCTCGGTTTCTTTAACTATCTACCTGTTCAAGTTGTTACGATTCATGGTTGTACTCAAGACTTACTCAATTTTCCGAAAAAAACATGTGGTTACACCAAATGATACTGAGTATTACATATTTCGATTTTCGGAAATACATGTGGTTACACCAATTGTTACCGAGTATTACATATTTCGATTTTCGGAAATACATGTGGTTAGACCAAATGATACCGAGTATTACATATTTTGATTTTCGAAAATACATGTGGTTATACCAAATGATACTGAGTATTACATATTTTGATTTTTGGAAATACTTGTGGTTACACCAATTGTTACCGAATATTACATATTTCGATTTTCGGAAATACATGTGGTTACACCAATTGTTACCGATTATTACATATTTCGATTTTCAGAAATACATGTGGTTACACCAATTGTTACCGAGTATTACATATTTCGATTTTCGGAAATACATGTGGTTACACCAAATGATACCGAGTATTACATATTTTGATTTTCGGAATTACATGTGGTTACACCAATTGTTACCGAGTATTAGGGTTTCCTTATTAGGGATTCCTATGTATTGACTGAGATAATATTATGGATAGAATAACACAGGAAATTTTACTAATATTTTTTTGTAAATAAAATATTATTTTACTGTCATAATTTTTAATTAATAAAATATTTTACAACGAAAAATAGTAACACCAGGAATTAATTCATGGCGTGTGTCTCGGTCATCAGGCGGGCCTCCTTCTTGAACCGCTCTGGTTCCAAGACGCACATGCGTGCGACGTCTGCGAGGTAGTTGTCATCTTCCTCGACCTTAGGGTGAAGCAGCATGTCATAAAGCGCTTAAAGGAGTTCCTTCACCGTCGTTCCAAACTTCCAGGTAGCGGTGACGAGTAGCGGATGGAAGACATGGGGTTTGTCGATGTTGGGGTGCAGAATCGGCGTCTTCCACGAAACCATTGGTGGCTTGAAGGGGTAATCCGGTGGGAAACGGATGGAGATGAAGAAGATGCCCCCTTCGTATGGACTACTAGGGGGGCCCAACAGCGTTGCTTGCCATTCTAAAATGTCTTCCGCCACCGGCCCTGCACTGAACCAACTCGCCGGAAACCGCACCAACTCCCTCAAATTAATCATGATCCACGCCTTAGGGGCCATTTTGAAGTGATAAAGAGAGAAACGATAGCACTAAATAGAGAGAAGAGGATTTAGAAGATAGATATGAGTGAGAGAGAGAGCGAGTTATATTTATGGAAAGAGAAAGGCAAAACCCTTGGGTGTGCCTCATATAATAAATACCCTTCAAAACCGTTCAGCCTTATCGTGCAGAGCAGTTAAAAGTCACATCTTTCTCTCCCCTGCTAAACCCGAAAAATATTTATTTACTTAATGTATTGAGTAAAAATCAAATACAGTGTTGGTAGTTGTACCAGTCTTACTGCAGTTAATGAAAGCATTAACAGCCGTAAGACTGGTACAACTACCAACACTAATGCAACGATTAAACACTTCGTATAGACAGTTTTTATTATATTAGTTTATTCACTTCTCCTTTTACAGAGATAAATAAACGCGTTTTCCCCTCTTTCCTCGTTTTCCATTCAACGCGTCTATACAATAAATCACGTAAGTAAATGGTGAGTAAACACTCCAAATATCATCCAGGGAACATTATCTATACACGAGATATTGTACTTAGCATTCTTCAAGTAGTCTCATCATTTCTAACAATACATAAACAAAATGGAGAAATCAGATGAAAAAAATATGATGAGAATGGTCTGATAATCATCAACCCACCACCTTTGAACATGAGATTTGGTGTGGTGGAACCTAAGTCGCCACCTTCGCCAACTGATTCTAAGATCGAGCAAGCAGAGCTGTGGGAACAATTCAAGCAAAATCTTCCAAAGGTAATATATTCTCTCTGTTTAATGGTTTATAAATATGTCCTGATCATGAGTTAAAATTTATATATATTTTTTTTTTCAGGAGAAGGAAAAAAACATCTCAGTCGATAAACCTTCCCACAAACGTTGTACAAAACCGGAACGAGAATTGATTCTGGATCTAGAGATAGGATTGAAGTGCATGCATTGCGGATTCGTGGAGAGAGAAATTCGAAACATGGACACATCCGAATGGGTAAGTAATTAGTCATTTTTTTTGTTATGACAAATCTCAAAAAAGTTGAAATGTATATGACTGGAAAATAATCAGTTGATGTTGTTTGGCTATATGATTTTTAAACTTATGTGAGATTTTCTACGTTTCTGTTCGAAGGGAGAGATGAAGAAAATAAAGAAGAAGATAAAAAAGAAGAGGTCTGGAATGTCATCGAATTACAAATAAAGCCTATTCTTTTATTTTTAAAAAAATTCATATATGTAATCTCCTATTTTTTTTTCCTCAGAACCTTGATATTTATGGTAATTTGGTAATTTATATTTGGAGAAATTATTTCTGGTTTGTTCAAAATTTTAATATTCGATAAATTAATAAACTCGATTAATTAATAAATTTCTTTGGTCCCAAATTTATGTTTTGGTTCAATTAATTTCATTATAAATTAATGAGACCTCTAAATTAATAACTCTCTCTAAAAATATAAGAGTCCCAATTATATTAATTTAGAGGATAGAGTTTATATTTTCGATAACGTATTAACGAGAGTAGCAGTTATTCCGATATTCCTCTCTCTCTCTCTCTCATACGGTCACGTTTATTTGACGTGACTACTCACTTCCTCTCACTTCGTCCATTTTCTATTATTTAAGTTCACAAAGAAGTTCCGAAATCCATTCTACTTCTTCATTACTTTCCCAAATCCATCACTTTTTCCTTTGTCCCCTCTCTTAGGGTTCCTCTCAGATTTTCCTTTTATATTACAAAATCCATCATTTTCTCTTAGGGTTTCAGAACTTTTCTCCACAAAACTCGGCCTCGACCACTTCATATATAAATCCATGGCTGAGAACTCCTACCTACTAGCCCTACCAGACGAACTACTGGAAAAGGTTCTCGCGAAGTCGGCTAACACAATTGGTGACCTTATACGGATTCGCTCGATTTGTCATAGGTTCAACGACTGCACCAGAGGCCCTGGCTTCTACGCTGAAGTTGATCCCTTTAATATGGGTCATCCAGAGGATCAAGATGTCCATCTCATCATCGATGTCTTCAGAGAGTTCTATGATGCACGAAATCCAGGCAAGATTTTCATGCGAGGTATGCAACTCTTTTTTCATCGAAAATATTTTGGAGGGATTCTACTGATCAAGAAAGTGGCGGATATGTCTACGGGATGTTCATGAAACTCGTTATGGAACATCCCGAGGGTGATGAGTACCTCAACAAACTAAGCCGGGAAACAATAAGGAAGTGCACCCGCGACCTCGTTGAAGAAGTATATCTTGGTTGGCCATTGGGATTGCCAGAGATATTCAATGAAGGCCACCGTCGCTTTTTACCGTGCCTCAATACTCTTATCCACTGTCCGTGCGGTATAGTTAACCAATGGGAGCGTTGGTGGAATGATGAGTATAAACCAGGGAACATCTGCGACTGCTGCTTCTTAACTCGCGAATGCGGAAGGTTCTTCCTATATGTGTACCGGGTAGTTAGGGTTTTTCCTGATATGGGAGACTGGTGAATGTGTCTGATGTTTTCTGTCTTATGTTTTTTGTTTTTTGTACTTTCTTATGTTCTGGATTCCGTATGTGCACATTTCGTTATGTTTAGTACTCCTTTATGTTTTGTACAAACATTATTCTAATAATTTTAAATCCAACTGTTTAGGCCTAGTATTCCACATATATAACTGGTTAAACCAAATTATACTACAATGGTTAAACCTAATAATACTAGGTTATACAATTGATATGTGGTTTTACCAATAATACCAAGTTTTCCCAATATTTGGTTTTCAATAATCCAAAATCAATAATAGAAATAGAAGAACACACCCTAATTCAGTTTAATCCAAATACAAATACATATATCAAATGTCATATGAGACTTAACGTCTCTGCTTTGTGTTTGGCCCTAGCTTCGATTGCTCTTGTTTCCGTTTACTTGCACCCACTTCTGCGTTCACAACGTCAGCACCGTCTGGTTCTACCTACACATACCAAGTAATACAACATATTGTTACCACGAAATATTAAGTACTACAACAACAATGGATATTACTCTTCAAACTTCAATACCCCTTTACTTCTAAGCAGGTACGGAGATCGGGCTACAAGCTGCTCCGCCTCTTTCAGCTCCGCCTCATTCATCTCCGGCTCTTTCTACTCCGGCTCTTTCTGCTCCGCCTCCTTCTGCTCCGCCTCCTTCTGCTCCGCTTCCTTCTGCTCCGCTTCCTTCTGCTCCGCCTCCTTCTGCTCTGATTCCTTCTGCTCCGCCTCCTTCTGCTCCGTTTCCTTCTGCTCCGCTTCCTTCTGCTCCGCTTCCTTCTGCTCCACTTCCTTCTGCTCCGGCTCCTTCTGCTTTGGCTCCTTCTGCTTCTTCTTCGGCTTCTACTTCGGCTGTTTCTTCTTCGACTGTTTCTGCTTCCTCGCTTTCTCAGTTTTCACCAGACTTTCAAGTTTCTCTCCAGCTTGATCATGTTCATGTTCTACATCATTTCGAAAAACTTCTCCTCCCTCATCTCCTGGTCCTTCCCTTTCTCTTCTTGTCTCTTTTACATATTGTTCTACAGAGCAGAGTCTTGTATCAAAGCCATCCATTCGGGCACTGATTCGGAGAAACTGAGCGTCCATACTCTTCTGCAAGCTCTGAAGCTGTTCCACAATTCCAAGAGGCACCACCTTCTCCGTCCCCACATCATTCTTAGCCGCTACAGGATGGTTTACCAACTCCTTATTATCTCGGGCATCAACATCGATCTTGCATATCTCTTTCCAGAATATCGGCTTCTTTTCCCCAACTAAACGCCTCGTCCAATTTTCAGGAACGATATCACCGATATCTTCCTCTTCATTCCTCTCCATGACTCCAGCAAGCATAATTACCTCATCCTCGGATGGTTGCAATATACTCTCGATGACCCTAGTGTTACCCAGTGTTTCATAGAGTTCCGACAAAGGGAAACCTTTTAGTGTGAATTGTTGGAACTTCTGCCTGCACATCCGGGGACAATCCCTCCCTGCTCCTCTAACATCTTCTCTGTATTTGTTCTTCAGACATGGGATGGCCTCAAAGGCTAGCAACTACACATAAACCCAAAAAATTACACTTACGCTCATAGTATTACATAGTTATAAATTCTTTATAATGCGACCCCATTGAAATGCCTCATTATGTGCTCAATCTCCTTCATATTTACATCGAATGAATACCTACCCCAAGGAAACCTTTTACAAGCCTCGAGATCATCCACAATCCTCAGGAATAAGGGGTCAACAGATGGTGCTCCCTTACCGGTTTTTGTTTTCCTACTAATTATAGAGGATAAGAAGTAGACGACACACATTTTCAACCGATCAGGATTAACTAGTCCTCGCATCGACTCTAGCTTTTACTCAACAGCAGCAAGGGAAGGGACGGTTTCCTGGAAATATCTATTTCTTAAACGAAGAATTTCCTATGCTCTCATAGTCCTCTGGGTACGGGAGACAGTTTAATCCACACAAAATGGCATGCTCTCTAAGGGAATAGCGAATTGGTACGCCATTCACTAAAAACCAAGCTTCCCTCTTCTTATTTGTGTTTGCTGTCCGAAGAAGAAGCAACCACATTCCCATCATCTTGTGTGTTGTGTCCTCATGCATGGCCCTATGCATATGCCAAAAGTGCTTGAACTATGGGTGTTCTGTAAACCATAACAGCTCATGTGGTTCAAGGTCTAGGGACTCCAATTTCGCAACAGCTTTGTGGATATAACATCTTGTTCCCAGCTTTATTGAATTATGATACTGACTGGGCTCGAAGAACATTCTCACGGGTGGCAATGGCTGATTCTCCTCCTCCTCAGCCTCAGCCTCAGTTCCCCTCCACAACACTATCTGATTATTACCCGTCTCTGATTCGGCAACTCCTTCTACCATATTCTCCTGCGACGATTCGGAATCTGAGTACAGTTCTGGTCTAGCATATCTAAACACTTTTTCGTTGCCTAAATCCATAACTCCTATTTTGTAATTGCCAACCGAATAGAGAACATATAAATCGAATTTTGGATTCTACACAAAACCGAGTTGAAATCTACAAAGCAATCTAGATAGAAATTAGAAATCAGAGGACGAAGACGAACGAACCTGATATAGCGAGGCGTTGATTTAAGACAGACAGCAGAAAATCACTCGTAGTTGTCCCAGAGAATACTAGGCGAAGACGACGACGAGAGAACGATTTCGAAATTTGAAAAAAACATTTCTCACACTTACCACAATTTTGTCTCCAATTTTTAATCCTAAACCCGATTTCTTCGGATTCAACCCGATATGACAGACTCGATGTGGATCTTCGTGGTTGGGTTAGTAAATATGAACTTTAGTAAGGACCTGCCAGTATTTGACCGCTTTTCTCCCTTTTCCTTGCTTTGAAATAAATCGAAAACAAATTAAATATTATAAGGAGGAGATCTGAAAATTTCTATAATGCGGAAGGAGTACGCGAGATTATTCTTCGAAGATGCGTGTGTAAATAAATATGTGATGCAAAAATTTTCTGTTTTGGGCATCCATTGCTAACTTCCTTATTTTATTTCCTCCATCTTTTTTAGTCTCCACCCTTTTTCTCTATTTTTTTCAGCTCCTTAAGTTTGAAGAAATTAACTAGAAATTGTAAAATTTTATTGTTTCCCCTATATGAGTAAGTTCATAATTTTTTTTTTTGCTGTGTTTTTATCCTGGCATGTTCGTTTATTATAAGCAAATATGCTCACGTTCCTTGAAATGAGGCTTTATGACGATCAACATTGTGGGAGTTAGTCTGAATACTTGCAGGTGTATCAAGGTCAACGAAGAAGAGCTGTGGTCAAAGACTTGGAACGAGAAAGAGTCTTCTTCAACAGAAAAAGCCTCAGTCTGAGAAAGAGTCTTCGAACGGTCTTGAAATCAAAAGGAATAAGCAGAGTCCATTCTCTGATTCCGAGGCAAGAAAAAGACTTCCCACCTAACTCGTACGAACTCAAGCAAGCAGAGGGAACACAAGCGTGCTTTCTGATACCGGAGGAGCAGAGCCTGCAGCAGCGCCTTCGTATCTGTGCACAAGGATTGCAAAGAGACAAAGTTTTGTATCTAGAATAATCTCTTTGAGGATATAAATAAGGTGAAGAGGGAATGTCTCTGTAAGAGTGTGATAGAGAGCTTGTGTAAAGTTGCAGAGAGAATATGGTTGTAGAAAGCTCGGTGTAGAGCTAAAGGATTTAGTGGATTCATCCGGAGAACCTCTCCGGGGAGACATAGCGACCCACATTGGGCGTGAACTCCTTAAATCGCCTGTGCCATTTTCTTTTCTGCATCCGTTTTCATACTTCTTCATACACACGAGTGAACTTGTTTTTCCGAGTGAGAGAGAGAGAGTTCAAGACACTAAAAGGTTTCTACTTTAGTGTTAAACAGAGCATAAATCTCAACAAATTGGTATCAGAGCTCCAGGTTCGGAGGTTTCTTATCTCAAGGTCTGAAGAAAGATGTCTTCCGCAAGAACGGAGGTAGAAAAGTTCGATGGAAAGGGAGACTACATGCTCTGGAAGGAAAAGCTGCTAGCTCATATCGAGATCTTGGGATTAGCAGAAGGTTTGGTAGAAGATGAAGCTCAAGAATCAGAAGATTCGTCTGCAGAAACACTCGAAGCAACAGTTAAAAGCAAAGACGAGGTTACTGCAGAGAAGTCTCTTTCTGAGAAGATGAAGAAGGTCAGATCTACCATTATCTTAAGCGTAGGAGACAATGTCCTCAGGAAAATCATCAAAGAAAAAACAGCTGCGGCCATGTTAAAGGTACTAGATCAGCTCTACATGGCTCTTCCTAATCGTATCTATCTGAAGCAAAGACTATATGGGTATAGTATGACTGATAGTATGACGATTGAGGAGAATATAAATGATTTTCTGAAGCTAATAACGGATCTAGAACACGTTAAAGTTTCTGTATCTGATGAGGATCAGGCTATCATTCTGCTTATGGCTCTTCCAAAGCCTTTTGAGCAACTAAAGGATACTCTGAAGTATGGAAAGACGTCTCTTTCCTTGGAAGAGATCATTGGAGCCGTTAGATCCAAGGAGCTCGAGTTGGGGGCAAGTGGTAAACTCTCAAGAGGTAGGTCAGAGGCGTTGTTCGTTCAAGACAGAGGAAGATCTGAGAAAAGGGAAAAACCGAATGACAAAGGCAAGCAGAAGCATCGGTCAAAGTCTAAAGGGAAAAAGACTTGTTGGATCTGCGGTAAAGACGGTCACTACAAGAAGCAGTGTTTCGTTTGGAAAGAAAGAAACAAACAAAGAGATGCTGGTGAATCGTCAAATGTCATAGGACAGGTTCAAGATGCTGCAGCGTTGATGGTTTCAGAGGTTTTGTTGTCGCTTGGAGATGAACTGAAGGAGAAATGGATCATGGATACTGGTTGTTCTTTCCACATGACTCCGAGAAGAGACTGGTTTGTAGAGCTCAACGAAGTAAACTCTGGAAAGGTCAGAATGGCAAATGACACTTACTCTGCAGTCAAAGGTATCGGAAGCATAAGGATCAAGAATGAAGACAATACAACAGTTCTTCTGACCAATGTAAGATACGTACCTGAAATGTCCAAGAATCTGATATCTCTTGGGACTTTAGAGGATCAGGGATGTTGGTTTCAGTCTAGAGAGGGAGTCATGAAGATCAACAAAGGATGCAGGACACTTATCAAAGGAAAGAAGACAGATACGCTTTACATTCTCAGCGGGTCTGTTCTCACAGGAGAAGCAAGTGTCTCAGTTGGCCCTAAAGACGAACCTCAACTATGGCATCGAAGGCTCGGACATATGAGTCAAAAGGGGATGAAAGTCCTACTAAAGAAAGGATATTTGGACAAAACCAGGGTCAAGGATATGACATTCTGTCAGGATTGTGTGTATGGAAAGACACACCGAGTCAGTTTTGGAACAGGGAAGCATGTAACAAAGGAGAAGCTGGATTACATTCATTCCAATCTATGGGGATCACCCAATGTTCCATTATCACTAGGGAAGTGTCAATACTTCATTTCATTTATAGATGATTACTCAAGAAAGACCTGGATCTATTTTCTTAAGAAGAAAGATGAAGCCTATGGAAGCTTTGTAGATTGGAAGAAGATGGTGGAGAATCAACTCGGTAGAAAGATCAAGACCCTCAGAACCGACAATGGACTTGAGTTCTGCAACAGAGAATTCGATGAGTATTGCAGAGATGAAGGAATTGTAAGACACAAAACATGTGCTTACACTCCACAGCAAAACGGAATTGCTGAAAGAATGAATCGAACCATTCTAGACAAAGTGAGAAGTGTTCTGAGTGAGTCTGGTCTACCTAAAAGCTTCTGGGCTGAAGCCGTTCAAATCAACAGGTCACCATCGTCTGCAGTTGATTTAGAGATTCCAGATGAAATCTGGACAGGAACGAAGCCAAGATACGATGAGATGAGAGTCTTTGGATCAGTGGCTTACATTCATAGTGATCAGGGAAAGCTAAATCCAAGGGCCAAGAAAGGAGTTTTCATCGGTTATCCTAGTGGAGTGAAAGGATACAAATTCTGGTTAGTTGAAGACAAGAAGTGCATCATATCTAGAGACGCTGTATTCCAAGAAGACAAGATGTACAAGCACTTAAATCAACAATCAGAGTCTGGAACAGAAACACAAAGCTCAAGGATACCCTTGATCTACGAAGTCAACAGTGGAGACTTCAAGGATCTAGGTGGAGCTGATAAGAGTCTAGAAGAAGATCAAGAAGTAGAACCTCACTCAAGTGCAGAAAGAAATGAGCAGGAAGACGAGAGCTCAGAAGAAGAAGAAAGTTCTCAGCTCAGCAGTGATCTCAGAACCTATCAGTTGGCAAGGGACCGAGAAAGAAGAGTGACCAGAAGACCTGAAAAGTTCAACGATTCAAACTTAGTAGAACTAGAAGAAGATCTAGTATCTGGCTTTGCTCTAATGGTGACAGAAGATGGAGGTTATCCTGAGCCATGCTGTTATGAAGAAGCCATGAGAGATATAGACTGGGATCAGTGGAAAGAAGCTATGGACGATGAAATGCATTCACAACAGAAGAATCAGACGTTCACCTTGATTAAGAGACCAAAGAACTGCAAAGTTATAGGCTGCAAATGGGTCTATAAGAGAAAAACAGGTGCAGAAGGATCCGATAAACCGAGATTCAAAGCCAGGCTAGTGGCAAAAGGGTACCTGCAGAAAGAAGGGGTCGACTATCAAGAGATCTTCTCACCTGTAGTGAAGCACGTCTCCATCAGGCTCATCCTGTCATATGTGGTTAACCTTGATCTAGAGTTGGAACAACTCGATGTTAAGACTGCATTCCTACATGGAAATCTTGATGAGTACATACTAATGGAACAACCTGAAGGCTATCAAGTTTTGAATGGAAAAAAAGAAGAAGATCAAGTTTGCTTACTAAGGAAATCTCTCTACGACCTGAAGCAAGCACCAAGGCAGTGGAACCAGAGATTCAATACCTTCATGAGGAATTCAGGTTACCAAAGAAGCAACTATGATTATTGTATTTACTACAAAAAGCTTGAAGACAACACCTATATCTATTTGCTCCTGTACGTCGATGACATGCTTATTGCAGCAAAAGATAAAGGAAAGATTCAAGAGCTGAAAGAGTTGTTGGGATCCGAGTTCGAAATGAAAGATTTGGGTGAAGCAAGGAAGATCTTGGGTATGGAAATCAAAAGAGATAGAAAGAATGGGACGCTTGAAGTATCTCAAGGGGATTATCTGAAGAAAGTTCTACATATGTATGGGATGGATCAGTCAAAGAAAGTGCAGACACCGTTGGGGACTCATTTCAAACTCAAGGCTGCCACAGAAGAAGAGTTGGTTGCTCAAGAAGAATACATGAAGACTATTCCTTACTCAAACGCAGTGGGAAGTATCATGTACTCTATGATCGGTTCAAGACCTGATCTGGCCTATCCTATG